TGGAAATTAAGATACGCCCTTACGTCAGAGTAGCGACGAAATGTCCCACTCTTGACATTACCTGCCGGACGTAAAGTGCCGACCCTGTTCATTTATGTAGCCCTATCCCCGGATAATTTGACCAATTACAGGGATGACCTCTCATAATTTACAAGTTAGGGAGTGAATTTAGGAGAAGACCAGTGACACGATTGGGTTCCTCTTCATGATTTATCCAATCGTAAATCCTCTACGTTTGGAGGAACTCGATTTTCGTCGCTCATTCATGCACAAAAGGTGTGTAGGAATCAGAATATCAGTAGCCGTGTCCCATTTCCCCCACCTACGATGTTGTGCTTGGGAGGAAACCCATGTGACCACATGAAAGTTGCTAAATTTCTATCGATAAAAGATTCATTTTTCAGGATGTTGCAAATATTGTACCTTGAAATTTACAGGCACACTAGAATGAATGGACCTCTAGACGAGGTATAAATTGAAGTGCAACTCAATGAATCTCATTTTCGAAATTTCACAGGGAAAACAATTCATACAATAAAGAGTCTGGAAAATAAACTACGAAACACGATGAAAGTATTTTTGATCGGTAAAAATACGAAAGACGTCTTTTGTACATATAATTTGGTTTTCATTCAAAATACCAACGATGAAACTCCCAAACCTATCTCGGTTTGCTACGTTGCAGACTTCCTGTCATAAATTATGTTTTATATCCATACCCCTCATGTATTTTTTGTCTATCGTTTTGTCCATCAATTTTAAAAATCAGCCTGCCAGGGCCCATTGCAAAGAATTTCCTCTGAAGAAATAAAATGAAGAAAGTGTCAAATGATTCGTAAAATTTAAGTTTTATCGGAGATGTTTTGGCATCATCTGAATTTTCATACGACGTTTTCCCGCAGTAATGCGTTCGGCTCTCTCCTTGTTCCTCGCGCGGTCACTGATCAAACGGATTCGACAACAAATTTATCCGATTGATCAAGTGCTCATCAGCAGTCTTATCCGTTGTTGCCAGGTCTCGTGTTAAAAACTCACCGATAACTCTTCCGAATAAATAACGAGAAATCCTCAGGATGATCTGCGAGATGGCAATACGGATTACGCGCAGTATTTATTGCACTCGGTCATAAATTTATGATGCCGTAAGCCGATGGGAGGAGGAGGGGCGGAAATCGGATGCTCCTGTCACGTGACACTACAGGGTGTCGCATGGTGGCCATGCGCGTGATTTATTTGCAGATATTAGTACGGGGCGAAGTTGTCGGATCTATGCTAATCGTATTTATCGATGGAATTTATAGGAGATATGTCCAATTAGACGGATTCGATCATAATTTAATTTTTTACGTGAATACGGTTGTACGGATTTTGTGTGCAGATCTCAGTCAAATTTCTGCAAAGTCCGAAGCAAATTCCTTAAAATATTCGAAGGAATCCGCACAAACGTTATTTTGTAAACAATTAAATTGCCCGCTTAAATTTGGCAACGCATGATGTGGCTTGGTTACTTTCTGCTGAACGCGGTAAAATTCATTCTATCGAAGAAGAAACGTGTATTTAAACTCGGAGCAGAATATTCAGTAGTTCCTTGTTTCTAAATTTCTTCAACGCATTTTTTTCTTTTTATTCAACGCAAATAGATTGCAATTGGTCTCTGATGACATTTTTCTTGTACATGATCAAATTTTCGCAGATCATCTGGCAAACTCATCACCACAGTAACAGTAAATCTAGTGTAACAATATTTTAAACACCAAAAAAGAAAAAGAAAAAAAAAAGACAGGCGAAATGTGAGCGCGGACTCTGCTCAACAGTTGGAATCGGCGATTCTGTACCACTGCGCCACCCTCTCATCAGTGCCTTTCACCCATGGAAAAGCGTAGCTCCAATTAACCCTCTATTTGTCAGCCATTTTTGTATGAACTGTAATCTGCATTCTGTTTTCCGTATTTTAAACAGATGTGGAAAAAGGATCCAGCCACACCAAATATTCATCCGCATGCCGGCTATTTTCTCGCTTTTGTTCAAATAACATTTGCCTACGCGGTGTTTTCCGTGAATGTTTGAGCGGTACAGTGCCAATTGTGAAGCTCATGGCCCCGTAAAAATCGAGTTTTGGGCGCTTCTGGGTACCAGATGCGCCCTTTCCAACCGTTCGACTCCCCCGATGTAACATGTACTATACTACATGCCCTTTTGCCTTATGGGTAATGACGCCATTCTGGTACACCCGGGAAAATTTGATTTTTTTCTGCATCTGGTATTCGTAAAAGTTTTCGTGAAATGTTTTGCTTTTAAGCATAACAATCTCGCACGGACGTATTACCTGGTTAAAGTATTTTAGGGCCTCCTTATGCTTTAAATACTTATATCCGAGGCAGTACTTTCAGATCGATTTGAAAATATTACGAACAGTCACGTGATCTCTTCATTTTAGTGACGTATTACTGTGCTACTTTGTGATTGGTTCATTTTCTTGGCGCAGCATCGACACGTCAGCTGTTTGCGGCATTGAGCGGAAGGTTTAAGGTTATGTCATGGACCAAGAGAATGAATAAGGACCCCCAACTCCAGTTAGCGGAGACATTAGCGCTGCCTATATTTTCATCCATGGCCGATGTCACCGCCGGCCGGCCGGTCCCTCTCTTCCCCGCGACCCGCGCTTCCCCGCCCCGCTGCTGAACTCCTCTTCACGCGGCCGGGCCCCGCTCCCCCGCGACGCCGCGCCGCTGTCCGCTAGATCGCGTTGACGCACCAGCTTTAGAGGTTCCGCCGCTCTTTCCCGTCGTCTGATTTACAGTGCATCCTTTATGTTTCCATTTACCACCAGTTACGAGGGGCGTTCAATAAGTAATTATCCCCCCTCTCTAAAATCCATAAGAATGGACAAATTTTAAAAAAACTTGGGCTCAAAATCTTTCTTAGGATATTTTGAGTTCAACAAAACAAACCGCAATAAAATCGGACTATGTGCAGCCGAACGCGAGCCGTTTGAACGCGCCGAGGTGCTCGACGCTCCCGCCGAATCTGCGAGGATTTGAAGTCCGCTACAGGAGAAGAGCTTCTCTGCCAAAGCCTCAGTCGTTCATCACTGACGAAAAATCAAAGAAATTTTTGTAGAATAAGGGGCTTACCTCACTTCTCCACATAACCAGCTCGATCCAAGCAAGTCTGATACTGAGACTTAATTTTGAATCAGTGGAAGAAGTCAAACAAGCCGTCCACTCTTTCATCCGCGGTCAGCTGAAAGACTTCCACGCACGAGGCATCCAAAAGCTGTTCTCTTAGTCTTAGTCTCAGTATCAGACTTGCTTGGATCGAGCTGGTTATGTGGAGAAGTGAGGTAAGCCCCTTATTCTACAAAAATCTCTTTGATTTTTCGTCAGTGATGAACGACTGAGGCTTTGGCAGAGAAGCTCTTCTCCTGTAGCGGACTTCAAATCCTCGCAGATTCGGCGGGAGCGTCGAGCACCTCGGCGCGTTCAAACGGCTCGCGTTCGGCTGCACATTGTCCGATTTTGTTGCGGTTTGTTTTGTTGAACTCAAAATATCCTAAGGAAGATTTTGAGCCCAAGTTTTTTTAAAATTGGTCCATTCTTATGGATTTTAGAGAGGGGGGATACTTACTTATTGAACGCCCCTCGTAATAATCAGCACAAAGTTCTCGTGGAAAGTTTCAGATCTTCGCTAGCGATCTGAAGTTTTGAAGGGTTTTGCGGTTAAAGAATCCCACTTTAAATTCCATCTTCGTCAGTCTTCGGATACATAAGTTGGTAGTAATATGCTTTGTCAAAGAAGCGCCCTCCGACGCTTAGGCGTTGGAACTGCTTGTTTTTTTTCTCTCTTTTGCACAGAGCACTCGATGACTGCCGTCTGAACTTGAAAGCCGCGTATCATCGTTTTCCAGACGAATGAACTTTCAACATTGCAAAATTTCCACCTGCGAATTGCATTTGCTGCAGGAAACTGTTAGCCATTTCTACCTGAGAATTTCCCTGTTTTTCTTAGGATCACTCGCAAAAATCGTCATTTTTTATCGCTAGCAATAGCGTTGGCAAACTTTAATTGCGTTTTTCATAAAGCCTATCTCTGCTTAAAATGACGAGTAGGCTATTCAGAATTCGCCAATTCACATGAGCAGAATTTCCTACTTATATGAGTAGAAATCCTACTCATATGATCAGAAATTATACTCATATCACTAGAATATTCTACTCACGGGAGTAGAAAAGATCAACTCAAATATATTCAATTTTTTTTTCATTTTTCTAAAGCGCTGTTTCTGACCAGGAGACTTCGGCGTAGTATGTAAATTTGAAAAATAAAAACATTTTTTTCTTATGATTTTTTTGATGCGGTGACTAGTTTCTGAGATATCGGATACGGTAGATTCAACGCTGAACTCATGCGAGTTGAAATCTCTATTCATATAAGTTGGCGAAAACTGAATAGAGAAATTCTACTCATATGAGTTGAATTCTATTCATATAAATTGAGATTCTATTCTTATGAGTTGAAATTCTATTTATATGGATTGAAATTCTATTTATATGGATTGAAATTCTATTCATATGACTTTGATTTTCTACTCATTTGTACTCACCATTTTTAGCAGGGATAAGACATTAAATTTTACACTAAAAGACATTATATCTCCCCCTTGACCAAAAGACCTTAGAGAACCCCGCACAATCCTTTGGAACGATTTTTCCCGATTTTTGATGAACTTGTTTCGGATGACTTCTCTCAAGGCTCACATTTTAGTTCTTATCAACACTTTTCAATATTTTTCTAACATTCATCTTTCCATCTTATAAAAGTCCATTTCTTGATCTCAAATCTTATTCTTTACGTCCTATCATTCAATTCATCTCCATTACTTTTTATTACTAGACTTTCAACTGATAGCTACATAGATTATAGACAATCACGCGTAGACTTTTTGTCTCGCCACCCGTGACGTCAGCAAGTCTATATAAGCGTGCGCTACGCCTAAATCGAAATCTTCTTCCACCCCTCAGACCCGTGGAACGTACACCCTCTCTCAGCGTGTTTCGATCAAAGGTCCTCTCTCATCTCTCAGTTTCAAGTGACCATTTAAGCTCCTTCTCATCAAGTGTTTTTCATCCTCAACACTAACTTAAAAGTGTATCGTTGTGTGGAATCTCGTCGAATTTCCATCTGCTCTTGTCCTTCGTATTTTGTGCAACTCCTATACATCGGATTAATACAGTGATGAACTTCATCTCAAAATCTCGTGTCTATTATGGATATGTTGCATGTGTGCACCATGCAATGAATAAGAGTCAGTAGAAAACTTATCTTATTCTCGTTGGTGATGTGATAGAAATAAAATTCAAAAGTAATAACCGTTTCGGCACCAGCTGATCTTTGCTAACGTAGGATCAACAAACTACGAGAAATGGAGTGAGAATGGAGATGTTGCATTTGTGAGGAATTTGCGATTTGACTGTTGATTCTTATGTAAAAGTTCGCGAGAAACGCGATGGTGCCACTGGTTTTCTCTGAAATCAACTCCCAAGCTCAAAAAAGCTCTCAAGTTGAAGCCAAAATGGAGGGGATATCCTACGCTATCCTGAGAGTCCACCTCTGCATCAAGACGAGCAATCCATGCAAAAATAGGGAGCAATTACATTAGCAGGGATGCTGTGTTTTCAGTCTTAGAGTCCCCAAATAAATTGGCAGCCCTGTCAATGTATTTGCTCCCTATTTTTGCATGGATTGTTCGTCTTGATGCAGAGGTGGACTCTCAGGATAGCGTAGGATATCCCCTCCATTTTGGCTTCAACTTGAGAGCTTTTTTTGAGCTTGGGAGTTGATTTCAGAGAAAACCAGTGGCACCATCTCGTTTCTCGCGAACTTTTACATAAGAATCAACAGTCAAATCGCAAATTCCTCACAAATGCAACATCTCCATTCTCACTCCATTTCTCGTAGTTTGTTGATCCTACGTTAGCAAAGATCAGCTGGTGCCGAAACGGTTATTATTTTTGAACTTTATTTCTATCACATCACCAACGAGAATAAGATAAGTTTTCTACTGGCTCTTATTCATTACATAGTGCCGAACACCAACTCTTATTCATTACATGGGTGGTGGAAATGTCATTGCTGGCGATACCCATGATTAAAATTGAAATAAAACTTGAGAAATAAACAGATTTTAAACTTAAAACTGCGGAGGCGCAGATGTGAAGTTGGAGAAGTATAAGAAGACAATGGCCGGCTGATCTGAGCAGGATTATCGCTTGAGTATATTAAACAGATACATTTTTTCACTTACAATGGAAGTGACGATTGAAATTAAATACAAGAATTATCGGGACTTTAAAAAACAAAGATTAGCAAAGGTTGAGATGAAAAATTAGTACAGAAGGTTACTTAATTCAACTCTAGTTGAAAATGTGCGATACCGGAATCCGCCTTTTGCCATTCATCGGCAACTGAGCAGGATGCGTAACAGGGAGGAAGTTCTGTAATAGAACGGATGTGATTATGGTGATACGGTGTGGTGAACGGTGATTACAAGTAAAGATTCTTCAGAAGAATGAGTACTAAGAAATACAGGATGGCGCTATGTATGAATCATAGCTTTGATTTTACGCTTACACGTCAGCGAAAGTGCTCCTTTGCCCCCTGTTTTCAATCAAAGAAGCCTGCTCTCGTGGAATAATAAAATTCTGTGGGTCTCTACTGAACGGATCCTCCAGACCTTTTTTTTTAAAGTTACTAATGTAACCTCCTTGCTCAGGAATAATACATATATATTTACAGTGGTTGACTTAAGACTAAGAACTTAAGGCTAGGTTGTTAGAATAAGTTGTGCTCCCAGGACAGGGGGCTGGTAAGAGGGATATTTACAGCGGGACGCTATAAATATGTTTTATGACTATGTTTTCCAGACTTTACCCCGGCTTTATTGTGGGCCAGCAGGACGATTTCAATGTTCGGGTTTGATCGTCCGCCAGAGATCCACCGAAGACAGGACTTCGGCTGGATGCAAGGGACAAACTACAGACATCCACCCATGCAAGGACAAGTTACACCTAAAGATAAGGCTAGACATGAGGTTGGGGTTTTAAATCGACCGTGTTGGAACAAGATCGTTCTTTAAAAAAATAAAAAATTGCTTCGGCACCAGTTGATTTTTGTAACAGAATCAACTTGAAGAATGTAGGTGTCACACATGCTGTGTATATCCCATATATACCGCTAAGAGAGTGCTTCTCTTGATATTCCGATATGGTTATTAAGTTCGGACAATTTTTGTATTACGTTCTACCTTTATAGAGAGGTTTTAGCGTTAATTTCTGTAGATCAGACGAATTATCTTTCTTTTCTAACTCTTGTTGCCGTAAAACATAGTCTTTCAGAGATGTTTCCAACTCTGCAAGAGTCTTACGAGGCCATAAGGTTACTATTGACAAAATAGAAGAAGGCAAGCCATCAAGTATGTGTCTCATTATCGTATTTTCCTTCATTTGAGGATCAATTTTTTGACATAAAGTTCTTAATTTCAAGAAATGCTCTTGGACTGAGAAAGAGCCTAATTTAAAATTCTGTAATTCTAATTCTATTTGATGTTTTAAGTTTTCATTTTTGAAGGTTTTAGAAAATTCTTCTTTAAGGAGATCGAACGTCAAATCGTCGTGTTTTTCCTTCGAAAATTTCCATTCGAAAATTTGTAAAGTGCAAGCGCTTCATCTGTTACAAAGTCAGGAAACAAAAGAGGAACAGTCTTTTCGTACCAAAAATTAGCCACAATACATTTCTGTACATCTTTCAAAAATGCAGCCACATCCTATTTACCACCAAATTTTTGAGGCCAAATAATCGGCGTTTTCATTTTAAGAAGTGCTTGTGTGGCCATGATTTCGTCTATATAGATAATGAATCTAAAGGGTCTGAATCTTCAAAGTCTGAGGTTAAATTAACAATTGTTTCTGATTGCACTGTTTGTTTTGTAGTTTCCAGTTTCAAAGTTGAATCTACAGATTGCGTACTAAGGAAAGGTGAGTTAAAATTATATTCGAGATTTTTACGGGTGAGATTTGGCAAGTGAGTTAAAGGAAAATCTGTATTCTCACTAGGATTTCTGCTATGAGAAGGTGTTGAAGTTTGTGAAGAACTTAAAAATTCTCCAAATTCTTCATTTTCTGAATCGGAACTCATTAAATATTTTACTAAAAACCTTTAGAGATTTTTATAAAAAATCATGCGCACACAAGTAATAAAAAAAATCGACGCATATGATATTCAATCAAAAAGAAAGTTTTTAATTGGACCTCGTGTGTGTTGCAACGGTTACCCTGAAACGCTGCAATACTACACAAACTACAGTAGACTCGAATTACTTAATTAAAAAAAGTTTAGTCACTCAAAAAAAAAAGAAAAAATAATTCCTATAGGGGCACTAAATCACCGACACAATTACACGAGCATAAAGTACATGATTAGTAACAAGTCAGCAAGTCAAAAAATAAAAATTCAGGATGAAATTCTGATAAAAAGGAAAATATTTAATTTTTTTCTTATTATTATTAACTTGTATAAAAGTGTACAACCACCCCTTTGCGGGTTGTCAATTACAATTGTTTTAGTATAATGTAACTACTAGAACTTAACCTAAAGATTAGTGTCTATTTTTTGAGAATAAAAACATACAAACATTCACGCCCGTGTTACATTCTTTGTGTCTTTACCTTTCCTCATTCATACAGCTCTAAGTGAAAAGAAATACAAAAATACTAAAATAAACTAAAAAATAAACAAACAATGAAAGAAGGAAGTCCAAGCAATTAAAAACAAAAAGAATAAGAAACAAATTTATATAAAAATGAAAATAAATTGACTTGGATTCTAAATAAGGAGAGTTAGTTTCTGAGCGGCTATCTCACTAGCCGCGAACTGAAACTTCGACGGATTAGTGAAATAGTGATAGTGGTGAAGAACCACCCCGCAAGTGGTTCTCTATTCTTGAGTTGCTATCTTAGCTGAGGTAATTCTTAAGTGGACACTCCGACGGCTAAATCGCAAGGCTTTTGCCTTTGAAGCCGCCTTTTGGGGTCATCCAATAATCCCGATGTGAGAGGGTTCGAGTGCGCACCCAACCTCAAGGTGTGTCTCAGTGCTGCCCTTTCAATGATTTCCTGAACAGACTCTATTTAGAGTTCATTATGCCGTATTTGCTCGTTGGTAACGAACCAGGGAGCCCCCGAAATCGCACGAAGTACCTTGGCTTGGAAAGCCTCGATCAGGTACCTGTTGGACTTCTTAGCACATCCCCAGAGTTCACATCCGTATGACCAGACCGGCCGGAGGATCTGCTTGTAAAGTAAGACTTTGTTGGATGTTGATAGGGTTGAATTCCTACCTAACAACCAGTACATTTTTAAAAATTTGAGATTTAATTGTTGTCTTTTTTTCTTGATATGTTTTTTCCAGGTAAGCCTGGAATCCAATGTCATACCCAGATATTTCGCATTATCTGAGTATGGCACCGGATTCCCGGCTATTTTTATAGGTAGTGGATTTAATTAGGTGGAGAATTTTTTCTCAAGAAAAAAATTAGGTTTAAAAGCAATAGATTTTCGTCCTTGATCGTAGATTTCCTTGTAGCGGGTTTGAGCTTTAGCTATGGTATCTGGCGGAGATTGCCGAACTTCAATTAAATTGGTAATGTTATCAAGTAAGAAGCTATTGTCTCCAGAGGGGAGGGATGCAGATAATGAAGTATCTGGATAATAGCCGTGGAGGAAATAAAAGGGGGAATAAGTAGTAGCCGAGTGGATTGATGCATCATAGGCAAAAGTAACGAAGGGAGGATATTTGACCAGTTATTCTGTTTTTTATTAATGCATTTTTTTTCTTTATTAATAAAGTTGGTTACTACAGAAAAGAATTAATCCTAATTATGCTAATTTTAAATTAAATACAATATTTTAGTGGGTGGGTCGGTCAGGAGACCATCCCTAGCTATTTACAAAATATAGGTACTATATATACTATGATTAATTTAAGTGCAACAGTGATCAAAATATTGATTATGTACAAATAAAATATATACACTTATAGAAACGTGTTTGGTAATTATTGTTTATCCCCCCTGTCCCACAATTGATGTAATGTTTTTCATCCTCAACACTAACTTAAAAGTTTATCGTTGTGTGGAATCTCGTCGACTTTCCATCTGCTCTTGTCATTCGTATGTTGTGCAACATTCCTAAAAATCTGTTTAATACAGTGATGAGAATAAGATAGGTTTTATACTGAATCTTATCCATTACATTGTGTTGAAAAACGACCCTTATTTATTACAGTTCTTTTTTCAAAATAATCATCTTTACGCTCAAAATTAATAAAATATGTGAGCAGAGGTAACGTATGAGAACTCTAAGCCCAGAAAGTGCCTTTTTGACGTCCATTTACTCCTGCACAACTCAGCTCTTCAATTGAACAACACCGAAACCTCCAAAACGCGACCATGACAGCGCAACCCGGCTAATAACGCCCTGACCTCATCAAATACACCGCCTCGTATTTGATAAAGAGTTGACATCGACTCAAACAAACATGGTGATTATGACCAAATGTTTTGTGAATAAACACTCAAAAGTCCCCGCAAACTAGCCGTAACTATTAGGTTATGCCTCGATTGGCATAGGCCGACTTTTGTGTAATTGTCGGCACCGAGCAGAATTGCTATGGTAACGCAGAACACCGCATGTGCATTCACATGATGCCAAATTTCTCATGCTCAGTTATTTATTTTTTATTACTGTTTTATATTTTATTGAATTTCCTCTCATAAGATTTGCGCGGTCACAAATTGGACGTATCAGTGCCATAAAGAAGCAGAGTCGGGTGATAAAGAAGGGGTGCAGTAGCGTGGCGTGAATTGCGATACATCATGTTATGCCATTATGCCAAGAATCGATAATTAAGGTGTTCGCTGCGAACACCTTGTTTATCGATCCTTTTCCATAGGTTTAAATGGCATAACAATCGATATATCGCAAAGCACGCCACGCCACTGAAGGGGTGTGCTTGCTAGTTAACGGCCGTAAGAATGAATGGGAATCATAAATCATAAATCACCAGTGACGTCAGCTGCGGCAACGAGATTATTGGTCTTCAAATCGTGAGTCCTGTCCACAACGCTCTTGTCATATGCCCACGGCTCATGAGTTAGGATATTTTGCCACTTAGTTTCTAGTGATATATCTCAATTCTACTAATTCATTTTGCCAGAAGGAATCATTTTCACATTGTTTGCACACTTTTACATTGTTTCTAATGCACCATTTTTGAGCACGTTCCATCTTTTGGAACTGTCTCTAGTTCCTTTCAGAATAAATACGATCGACTAGTCCATTTGAAAATTTTACAAAGTCATCTCCCGCTTTATTTCCTGTTTGAATAATGTAACTTTAATTAATTCATCTTTCCCTTACAAAAGTATTCTACTAATTTTAAAATTATCCAGCTGAATATAGTATATACAATTTTAAAGACGTTTCTTGTCTTTTAATGTAATTTATGATATTCTGCATCTATTTAATATTTTTATTATCAAGCACGAATTATTTCAGATTTTACCTCGCCTTATTTTCTAATGAGCATTTGAAAATTCCTATAGGGCTGCTTATTATATTTAATTTTAACAAAGAAAATCCAATAAATTAAAAAAAATATATATATCCGTCTAGCCTCCTGGAAAATCCCTCAAAATTAGAAACAAAATCGCCATGCCTGTATGTATGTCTCCACAGTTTTTTTTCCTAAGAGAAGAAATCTATCAGCAAGTTCGTCTTTACTTTGAATATGGTCCGCGTTTAGCAGAAAAGAACCAAGCCACATGAGCTATTGCAAAGTTTAACTGAGCAATTTCGTTTTCTACAAGAGAACGTCTGTGCCGATTCCTTTAAAATTTTTAAGGAATTTGCTTCTTTCTATGCAAAAAATTCACTGAGATTTGCACACAAAAAAAAATCCGCACAAATGTTTTCGTGTGAAAATAAAATTGCCCAATTACATTTGGCAATAGCTGATGTGGCTTGGTTCTCTTCTGCTTAACGCGGTCAATATTATTAGCACACTGTAAATCGTTGAAAGGTGCGTGCTTGCCTACGCCTTTTGGTTCTCATGGATCGTCAACTCGAGAGCGTCCACTCATGGTCGTAATAACGAGAGGGACTTGACGCAGCAGTCACATCGAGTTTTGGCCATTAAGGAGGCCGAAATTCGAGCACACTTCTTTTCACCTCACAAGGCCACGGCCCCGATTTAATCCAGCTCTGACTCTAATTTCGGGGCGTGTCGTGCTTTGCGATCAATCGATTGGTGTCCCATTTAAACCTATAGAAAAGGATCGATTACGGTGGCGTGTCGTGCTTTGCGATCAATCGATTGGTGTCCCATTTAAACCTATAGAAAAAGATCGATTACGGTGGCGTGTCGTGCTTTGCGATCAATCGATTGGTGTCCCATTTAAACCTATAGAAAAGGATCGATTACGGTGGCGTGTCGTGCTTTGCGATCAATCGATTGGTGTCCCATTTAAACCTATGGAAAAGGATCGATTACGGTGGCGTGGCGTATTTTGCGATATATCGGTTGATCTGTCATTTACAATTATGAAAAAGGATCAATAAACAAGGTGTTTGCAACGAACACCTAAATAATCGATTCATTACCACAACTTCAAATGGGCAGATAACTATAATCACCCATTCATGCCTCACCAAAGATTGATTCTATGGGTGATCTGGTAAAACTTTAGAGTGAGCACCGCGGGCTGATTATTGAAATTGATAGACAAAGCTGTGTACAAAGAAGACATAGGGAGTATCAGCTTCCTCGAAAAGGACTACTACATGTCCCTTTTGTCTTCTTTGTCTACAGCTTTGTCTATCATTTTCAATAATCGACCCGCAGGGCGACCTCTGAGTGAAATCGAGAGTAACAAGAACATATTGGTAGATAAGGGCACTTTCTGCATTCCCAAAAGTCTTCAAGTAACCTGTGGTTTCGGTCAATTTAACAAATAAGTTACTTACTCAACCAAATCCTTCCAGTTGATCTGACCGGGAAGAAAGTTACTCAAAAAAACCATAAACACAAAAGGTTTTAACTGTGCATACGTGATTGACTTCACAACCAAAACAATGAATCATGGTGAGAGGCTGTATTATTATTTTCTTACCAGAAAATTTCATTCATTCGGATGCTTAATTAATGGAATGTATTTTTGCTTTGATTTCAGGAGATTTGGAGGACCCGACTGGAAAAATCCGCGATCACCTAGTTGCTAATTCTACATCACAATATGTAAGTATACCACACAATACGTATCACATACGTCACAATATGTAAGTTACTGTAACGTGCTTATACCAATACGATAATGCTATTGATTATTTCACATCCATGAGTTTTCGGGAAAAACATGATACATTAGGAGTGTGCCATCGCTTTTTTGTTTGGTGGACCTCGCATCCGATGTATTCGATGTAGGGACTACATTTTGCTGTAAGGCACTACTATTTCTGGCTCATTTGTAAAAGTGCACGAGGAAACCACTGGCACCTATGTTTTTTTTACAAAAACGAGCTAGTAATTTTAGTTTAATTTGCAAAATGAGATTCACATGATGTTCACTCGTGACGTACGTCACTTGAGCCAATTTCTCGTAAGAATATACTAGACGCACTGCAGACCGCAACATGCATGACTTAATTTTTAAGGCGATTTCCCACAAAATATCTGGAAATGTACAGCTCATCAATTTTAGTTTCGCCTATCGTATCTTTTAAGAAAGCACTGTAAATATCAGAACATTTCCGCACTAATTATGACTCTGCTGTCTTCTGGCATTGGTAGAGTCTTTAAACAGGGTATCTTCTATCAGTGCAAATCGGAAAATATCAGAAAATTCGATGGCAACAGGAAAAATCAGGAAAATACGTCATGAATCAGGAAACTCTGAGTGATTCAAACATTTTTCAAACATTTGATTCAATTCATCAAACATTTGATTCAATTCATCAAACATTTTGATTTTCCAAATCAAACTAATGCCAATTTGTTCGCGAGAAAAATCAGGAAATCTCCTCTAAAGTATCGGGAAAAGTCATGGAAGTATCAGGAAATTCCACAATTTAATTTCAGTAGACATCCTGTTGAGGCTAAAGCGTTTTTCAGTTCGATTATTATTCTAGCCATGGCGTGGCGTGCTTTGTGATGTATCGATTGATCTGCCATTTAAACCTACGGAAAAGGATCGAAAAAGAGGGTGTTCGCAACGAACACCTTAATAATCGATTCTTTACTATAGCTTCAAATGGGAAAAGATCGATATAATAATCGATGATTCACGCTTCGCCATTGGATCTAACAAAACGCCCTTGTCCCTCGAGGGCTACAGTCGGTGGAAACGTCAACAGCAGACCGGGAACTCTATTACGCTGAGGAGAATAGTATTTTCATTCTGGACTGAGCCCCCAATCGCATACGAGCACTTGCTAGTCATGGCTCACGTCTGGTTTGAGTTAATGCTCTCTTTCCGTCGCCCGGCAGAATTAGCAGGTTCCACCATGGCGCACAGTGGATCGAGTCAGTAGGAGAGGTCGGACAAAATTCGGAAACTTTAAACGCATATAACTTCGTTTATACAAAACTATGAGGTTCTTAAAGTGGTTTCATTGGTTTCCTCGTGAAATTTTCTGCTGTTGGACCCCTTGAGATTTAAAATGTGACTAAATAAACATCAAAATGTGCCGTTTTGGTCAAAAATCTCATGCTCGACTTCTAATTGACTCGATCCACCGTGTGGCGGGCGATCCCAAACTTGGCTGGCTGCCCGATCAAAGTTCCAAAGCTCACCGCCAACGAGAAGGGAAAAGGGGATGAAGGTGGGGAGAGGTCCGTGTTTTGACCGTGCGTCCCAACCACCGACTTGCTGATCGTGTCGAGCGCTTTGCACCCTTTCGCCGTTTCACGTTTCGCAAGCCAAAACGGTGCAAATCCTATTCAGTGCTCCTCCTTTTCGATGTACAAGTGGTTTCAGGGCATTCCGTCCACGATTTTCTGTCCGCGCATCTGTTTTGTCCAGTAGTTTACGTCCACGCGGTAAATAAGCACCAGTGACTTGGTCCGAGTGTCATATTTTAGTCCACGTAAAATAATATTGACAAAATAGAAATGAGGAAACCTAGAGAGAAGGGGATGGTGCTATGGTGACTCAATTTTTAAATGAAGTGTTACTTTCTTCTTTTGATTCATTTTTTCAAATTGTCATTAGTGAATATTTGGTTTTATTTCTATTTTCACAATTCTCAATATAAAATACACCTTCCTACATATACCTTTTTTTCTTCATTTTTTAATGAAAATAATACTTCATTTTAAAAACATTCACATTTTTAAAACTTGGCATATATTTGTAAAACATTTTCCAAGCTATGGCATCGATATTAATCTCAATAAGACGTAGTTGTGTTGAAAGAAACTTTACAAAAATGAATAAATGAGGAGCTAAAATCAAGAAGCACGCAATCTTTAGTTTTAACACATTTGTACGTTGATCTTTTAGCGTCAAATACGTCCAATTTTGAGCATTCAGTTGCGCCTACACTACGCTGCAGGACAATAAAAGCACAAAATATAAAATAAAAAATAAAAAAGCTTTGAAAATCATTAAATTTGACACAGAGCCACCTCAATATTTACAAAACACTCATTATATTTTCCTTTGATACATATTTTTTTTCATCAATTTAAATAAGAATAAGCCATGCAGAGTGGTCAAACATTTCAAAATCATGAGTTGAAAAACGCTGACTCCGCGAATTTAAATGTTAGAGCCAAACACAGAGCAGAGCGGCGCGCGAGCGTGCTGCCAGCGCGACATGCGCATTGGCGCCTACAAACCTAACAGGGATACTTCACGCATTGCGCAATGCGTGCAGTATCCCTGTTAGGTTTGTAGGCGCCAGTGCGCGTTTTGCGCAATGCGTGAAGTATCCCTGTTAGGTTTGTAGGCGCCTATGAGCGTGTCGCGCTGATCGCCCTCGTCCTCCGCGCGCCGCGGCGTGCCACGGCACTTCGAGCAATTATTTCGCAATAAAGTTGTTGCACAGTATAATACGAAATTATAGGCACTCCAAAGTTCAAGAATGACAGGTATCCTTCAAGTGTATGGAGCTTTCCTCGCAAAATAAATCAAGATACTTCAGCACAAAAAGAGAGCGGTAGTCCAAAAGCTCACCAAGTCCTAGCGTCCGTAATTAATAATGTTTAGCATATATTTTATATTTCATTATAGAAAAAAGTGACTCCCAAGTTGTTGGGACGACCCAAAAGTTGTTGAAATTCAAATTCCGCTCCCATGTTCTGCCGGCGGGAGCCGAACGCCAAGTCCTGGCCAAATGGGTCGGTAAAAGCATACCTACGTTTCACTTACCTTCATTGGGAAAAAAACACATTGGATCTAGAGTCCAGACTCTTGAAAACATTGACAAGAGAAAATACCCTTGATTCAATCGGATTTTTGCTTGAATCAAAGCGAAATCCGCTTAAATTAAGAGACTTGGTTCTTGATTCAAGCTAGATTCTGATTGAATCAAGAGTACTTTTCTTGTCGATGTTTTTAAGAGTCTGGACTCTAGATCCAATGTGTTTTTTTTCCAATGTTGGGTAGGACCGATCAGTTCGGTCCACGGTGCAATCCTAACCACTTCCATCCTTGTGAATATTAAAAATATTGCATTTCTACCGCACGAATCTCTTTCATTGAAACATTTCGGAGTAATAATTCACACCTTTCACACATACTGCTCTACTCCTTCGCGTTTCCTTACTCTCACGCGGCATTATTCCGACTAGAATACTCCCGTGCCGAGGAGGAACGCCGTATCAACTTTCGATAGTTGCCAAATTTCTTCTTCAAAAATATTTATTTTTATTTAAGTCATGAATATTTTTCTGTGGGATTTTCAGACTTTTTAGATCAAACTGCGAACGAAATCCCGCGAAAAATCGGAGGAGAAACATTCCCAGATTTTCCTGAAAATTCGCAGTTTGTCGAAGGAAATTTGGCAACGCCTGATGGCTCATACGGCGTTCTTACCTAGCACGGCGGAATACTGCCGTGCCAAGGAAGGACACCGTATGAACATTTGAGAGTTGTCAAATTTCCTTCAATAATATGTTCATTTTTGAGGCAAGTTATGAATATTTTTGTTTGAAATTTTCAGGAACTTGAGGTGAAATTGGGAACAAAATTATATGAAAAAATGGAGGGAAATTATTCATAAGTTAACCAGGAAATTCGTGTTTTATCAAAGGAAATTTGGCAACACTTGAAGCTTCATACGGCGTTTTTCCTTAGCAAGGCGGAATAATAATCGGATCGGATAAATCTCGGCGCGATGCAAATCCACGGCGGCATTATTCCGAAATTAGGAGCCCAAACAAACGTAACCGAGAACAAAGGGACGGCTGAGTCCCGCTTTCGGCGCGCGGCACAGCTAGGCGATTGTCCCACCGGGGTGTCGCC